TTAATTAAACCAAACACATCCAAAAATTTCGTATTTAAATTTTTTAACAAATTTTATAACATTTGTTCAAATGATTCCAAGGTTATTAAAAAAAAACAAATTTCCATATCCACATTTCGAGAGTGACGGGAAAGATGCGCACAGGAAATAAGCGTACAAGGAAGAAAGCTACAAAGAAAAAAGCGCACAAGACAAAAAAACCCAGCATAAACTACTTTATTATTTATTTTTCATTAAGATACGTTGATGGTATCTTACAATTTTATCTTAGAGTTTTAAATTGTAATATTTAATTCATATTTAAAAACTCTATAAAAACGTCTATTCCACATTTGTTCTTTTTTCTTCAGCTTGCAGGCTACCGACTAAACTGCGCCGAAAGCGTCGTGTTTTGTTTATTGTTTTAATGTTTATAGTTACTTTTACATTTGCACAAACTTTTAAGGTCATATCTTCAATCTAGAGGCTTTTTAATGCAAAATTAAAAAAAAAAAATTTAAGATTCTATAAAACTGGATGTAGAATTTACAAAAGTAAATTTTCAACGTGTGATTTTGTCCTTGTGCGTTTTTTTTTCCAGTACACAAATATGCCTTATTTCTTGTGCGGTGCGCTTTTTTCCTTGTGCGCTTTTTTGTGTGCTTTTTTCTGTACGCATCTTTCCTAAATTCAACAAATATTTTATTGTGTCGCCAGTGTCTGACTTCAACAAAGTGAAAATAATTACCATACTAGAGAGAGGATTTTTTGAAGTTGAGGTAGCTGATCAGTTGACATTTTTATTTTACTTTGTCTTATACTCACTCTAAAGGTATGTATAAGTGTAAGCATGTTAATGTTAATTCTGAATTTTTTTGCAACAGTTAATTAAACCTTGCACAGCAAAAGTTAACACTACTGAAGAAGTAGGCATTACGTACAAACGCAAAGTAGAAAAAATACTTATTATAATCGTAGTATGCGACAAGAAAATTTTCCGTTTGCAAAAAATTGAATTTATTGAAAACGACGTTTATAATTTAGTCTTTTTATACGTCTTTTCAATATTTGCGTTTTCACTCAATTTTTATTGATCGTTGAATTGTCAATCGGATAGGCGTTTTGTTAAATCAGATAATTTTGTATCATGTAAACCTGTGACTTTCCTAATTCTGATTTAAATTTTCTTAACTACTACTGAATTTACCAATTAAACAACTTTAACTGACAACGTGCAAACTCAGCACCACTGGGATCGCTCTCTACATTTGTAAACAATTATTAAATCATGTAAAACAACGTTTCACGTGTATGCATATGTGGATTAATTTCCCACAAGTCTTTCTTTTAACGACGTGTCGACAATACTCGACATGATGAGCTAAATTACCAACTCTAATATAGTATTGATTTTTTTCATTCATTTGCTACGATAAATTTTCAACTAAATACATACAGAGTCAGAACTCACGCCCTAGAGAAAAATTTCGAGTAAAATACTATATCAGGAACATAAAAAAAATCCACCTGTCAAAAAATTTTGACATTTATTTTTTGACATGTGACATTTTTTTATGTCTATTTAATAATACTGATGATCTTTCATATGTTTTTTTTTATAATTATTTAGTAAAGATTAAAAAAATTACCAAAATCACAAATAACATTAGAGTTACAATTTAGGATACAGCTTCCTTGCTTCCTCTTTTAATAGCCTGTAGCAAAAAAACTTGGAAAATTATTTTTCCAACAGAAATAAATAGAGTCAAAGTGCAAAATTTAAACTCTCATAACTTCGAAATTTTTAATATTTTTTCATGTTCTTGGTATCTTACTTTACATGGCATTTTTCTGTGGGGCGTGAGTTCTATACCAACAGTAGACTTTCAATTATCCGGTTCCGCTTAACCGGAACGCTGTGTTACCTGGAACACAACCCGTTTTCAATTTCAGCGTTTTATCCGGAACCATTGATTTTCATTTTCCGTTGTATCCGGTATTCAACACGTGCTAAACTAATTCTCAAAAATGCAATACTTTGAGTTTAAACCAAGAATTTAAAATTGTTTTTAAGTAATGGTTCAACTGCACTTGAGTTTCGAACTTTGTTGTATATGTGTGAACATACATTTGTGGAGTGATATTTACTGCATTTACAATGGAAAAATCGGAAAAACAAAAAAAAAAGAAAAGTGTGATTCCAATAGAAAAAAAGCTAGATCTATTAAATGTTTAGAAAAAGCTGAAAATTTTTATGATCTTGTAAGGGAAATAAAAAAATGTGAAGAATTGGATAAATCTGACAATTATCTATTAAGTGTTTGTTTCACTGTTAAAGTATAAATGTCGTGCCCGCACGTGCAATTATTGGACTCATATCATTAGTTGATAACACTATCCCTAATGATCAGCCTCCTGGCCACGTGGAAAAAGGTCAATGCCCAATTTCTTTTTATAATAATAATAATAATAATAATACATTTGTTTTATAACTTAAAATTATATTTTTTTAAATATGTATTTTGAAAAACTTTTATTTACTACTTTCGTAACTTTTTATATAGTAGCAATGTTTATGCGGTTTCAGCCTAATTTTAATATGTCACAATAGCATATAGCGTGTTTTTTTGAGGGTTTATATTCAATGTCAAAAATACTAAGCCTTTTTTGACTCTTAACCATATTATGCAAGTTTGCATTCGATTTTTAATTTTCGAGATATTTGAAGTTTCTATCTAATTCTTTGCGCTCTTCATAAGTTATTTTTGACGATTTAGTCAGTATACGCCATCTAGATTCTGAATATCAATAAGTGTTTGTGAGGGCTAGTTTGGAACCAAACCAACAATTCTTTCTATTACAGTTTTCTTGGGCTTAAATGAATGGCATGTTTTACAATCGCTGCGTCATCTTGTGTAGGGAAGCTTAACCATTTGTTTGAAACAACTGTACAACTAATATTTTATCTATAACAGTATTTTTAGCACAACAATAGAACTTTCACTTGAAAGTTAAATTATTAGTTTGAGCTTCTGCCACAAGAGAGTGCTAACATTGCATAACAATATTTCAATACTCGAAATGCAATGGATCTGAGCTGATCTTTAATTGAACATAAGAAATATTATATTCTGAGTGGAATGTGGCCGTAGTATAATACATTTACGTTTTATAACATAGTTTGATTTTTTTCTGCTTTCCAACCAAATTATTAAAATTTTTTGTTTAATTTGGACGATCTTTTCAACGAGTATAATTCCCATTTTTAATTGGTTTAAAATATTTTTTTTTCTTACTTAGGCATTTATGTTGTTGAAACATTGAGCACTGACTTATTGAGTGAGTATATGGTATCGGATAGAGTAAAAAATAGAAACTTTTATATGTACTAAAGGTATATTTATTAACAATAAACAAAACTAAGAAACGTGGAAACGTGAATAAAATAATGTTTTGAATTTTCTTATTGAGAGATTTTATGAATATAATTTTACTTTATTTGTTCCTTACCGTGTAATGTAATATGTACTAAGTGAACAGAAATATAAAACCACACTTTTTAGTTGAACTAAATATTTATTTTTGGAAAAACTATTTGATGAATGATAAAATACTGTAAAAAATGTGACGTTTTATGAAAAATAAAATTTTTCGAAATCCTTTTGTTTTTAATATCTGCAAAAAATTTTTAAATGTCAATTCACTGTAAAATTATTTTTTGCAAAGACTATGATTTAAAAATTGCAACTCTACATTTTACAAAATTTTTATTAAAATAATCATGTCAGTCTTTTCGTTATTGCTAAACATTCTAGCACATCTCACCAAATTCACAAAGGTTTGACGTTTTATAAATTAAAGTTGAACCTTTAATTTATTAAAACCAAATATTTTAATATCCACGTTATCTTTGAAATGTAATGTTGGTTACTTTAATAAAATTTTCAGGCTCATTATTACTGGTGGGATATCCTGTATAAGAAATTACACATAGGTACGTTTTTTTTTTAAATAAAACAACATTTTATTGACATATTTAGATGTGGTTTTTTATTACAATGTTCTATTGGTCGATTTTGCTTAGTTTTTAAATAAGTTGTTTTCTTTTTGATGAAAACGTACTTTTTAAAAACAAATTAAAAAACTAAGATACCTAGAATTTTTTTTTCCAATTTGGTTGTGATAAGCAACCATTGTAATATGTCATTTTAACTTAATTTTATCACAAGTTATATTATATGACATTATTTTATCACTAGTTATAAAATATGGCATTATTTTATCACTAGTGTTATAAAGTGTGACATAAAGATAACAAATAAAACTATTTTCAGAGCAACGCCCCGACGCTATAGTATGTATTTAGAAAATTATTGAAATCACAGATTTAAAATTTGACTTTGATACCTATGCTTTTCACAACCAAATTGCAAAAAATCTTGAATGAAACACGATGCAAAATGGCTGCTTTTCACGCCTAGTGCAAAAAACACGCTCATTTTGCAACTTGTTGCATAAATTGCTACATTTAATGTTTAAAGTTAAATATCTTTTTAGTTATTGATTATAAACACCTAAAAGTAAATAATTTTGGAAAAACAATTTAAAAATCTCTTAAATGCAAAAACAATAAATAGGGTGTTCCATTTAAATTGTTTAAGTTATTTTAACCTTTAACAAACTTCTTTATTTTTTAATCTTTACAAACGCAAAACAAAAAAATTGTTACAGCTTTGCATTCTGTACTTTCTTTTTGCATAAGTAAGAAAAAATTTGTCCTATAGCTGTCAGTTTTAGTGTAATAAACTTTTAAAAAGTGCATGTTTTTGTCTAAAAAACCGTTTTAAATTAAGGAAAATCGACTAATAAAAGTTTAGCGTAAAAACTTTTTTGCTTATGATCTACAGTGAAGAATAAAAGACCTCGTTGTCCATTTATGAAACATTTTTAATTGTACACATAATCATACAATAATAGTACAATATAAATTATTTTTTTCAATAATATACATACATTATCTTCATTAAAAATACTATCTGATACTACCTTGAAAGCAAAATGAATTATGAATAAACATAACAAAATCATACACTTCTACTTACAATGAATTTACATGTGATCATTAATTTTCACATATTACTCAAAAGTCTATTTAAAGTAAAAAATAATAATACGTATACCGTCTGTTTAGTATACAACAAGAAAATTATGAAAGTTTTTTATCCTATTCTAAGGACATAAATTTTAAAACAACACATCACACTAATATGGAATCCCATTCAACATACGATTTTTCTTTGTACAATAATTATTTTACATCGTATACATAGACGCCACAGTTAAAAATAATACCGGAAATCAATGTAGCACGGAAAAATATGTTTTGGTAGTTTTTCATCAAATTTTTCCCGCGCCAATTATAACAATCACTAAATTGTGTTTGAAATTATTGCGTCAATTATTTGTGATTCTGTAAGGTTACTACTTAATTTAACCGTATACATTTTTAACCCGGTTTAGATTGATGATTGATGACAATTAGTCGAAATGCATTTAAATAAAATTTTAAAATTGTACGCTGAAATAATTCTAAGCGCATTTGTCAGTCTTTTACTTTTTATTGTATTTTTATTATACAAAACCAGGAAAACCAAGCAAGCAATCAATAGTTTATATTTTTATGACCATTGACCAGAAAGAACTGTGTGATGTGTTTCAAGACCGTCAAATCCGCATAGATCACTTCACAATAATAGTATCTACTGCACATCGGTTTTAATTAGTTGATATTGATTGAAAATAGTACGGTTTGTGTAACTCAAAGCAACTAATATACAGAAGCATTGTTGTGGGTGTCGTAGTTGATCTGCAGGTAAGAGGGAATGGCGGCGTTGAGTTCGGAAGCTCTCCGTCGCAGCGCTGCTATGCTATGGCCGCGCCACACATCCTCCTCTTGATCGTTGGGGGAGGTGCCCGACGCCACTGGCGGAGTGGTCGCACTCGAGCACGGTATTTGTGGGGGCGGCGAACCACCCGTCCCACCATTTCCGTTGCTACCGCCACCGTTGTTGCAGTACGTCATCATGCTATCACCTGCAACGGATAAATCACTCAGATTCGCACCGATTTATCACTGATATTAATCGCAAAGCTCACATTATTCTATTTTCATGCAACATTGTTTTAGCACATTTCGCTATATAGCCCAGACAAATTAGACAAAAATAGGGCGATCGGTGGAAAAAAATCCTAGAGTTGGAGTTTTTTTTAAACGCGCTTTCTTTATTCTTGGGTAGGCATATATCAAAAGTCCCCGAAGGTGTGGAGCGAGCTCGAGAAGAGGGAAAGGGCTAAATGTGTTTTTTTTTTTTTGTTTATATCTCGGAAACTATTACTCCTAACGGTTTTTGCCTGCTTATCAAAATTAAAGCCAACAAAATTTCCTACAAAAATGGTCGTTTGCATTTTTGTTGTATAGACTAACCATAAGCGAGTTATAAGGCTCACAAAAAACATCATTTAAAAAATGTGCTTTATCCGCATTTAAAACAGAATTAATCTTGTGATTTGAAAAAACTGAAAGGAAATTGAATTTATTGGGTGTAACTCTTCATTAGAGAGTCTATAAAGTCTTCCGAGTCGTCCTCATATGCTGCATCTTCGTCTTCAACTTAAACATTGAAAACCGAATTACAGTCTTGTTCAGTACAATATTAATAAATATACAGGCTGTCCCAACGGTCCGAAAAAGCTCTATAACTTGTTTATTTTAAGAGATATTGACTTTTTCTTTTTTTTTAGATTATAGCTGCGTTTTTGATGCACATTTTAAAAATATTGCGGTTTATATACAGGGTGTCCCAATATTAAAAAAACACTAAAGTTATGTTTTTTTAAATGGAATCTACTCAGTTTGATTTTATTTTTGGATTTTTCGCTAAATTACAAATAACTTTTATACAGGTTGTTTTCATTTATCTGTTATCAATTTTGATTTGTGGAGCTTTTTCACCAGAATTTTTGAAATGCAGGGGTCTGTCTAAAAATTCGTATTTTCTAAATGCTTGCACACAAGTTAAAGTAAGTAACGCCATTTGATTCCTGAATGTTTGCCGCATCTTTTAGGTGTTTATTCAACAACCTGCTCAGTGGCATGCGCCTACTACGATTTTTTAAACATGATCTTTTGACAAGCTTTCTATCAATATAAGGTTTGTATAGTCTAGTGTAAAATTCTAAGTTGCTATACTAAATTAACTAAATTTTGACAAATTTTTCTGTTTTGAACAATAAAAATCGAGTGGGCCTTATGCAAAAAAAAATTAGCACAGAAAATAAACAAAAGTATGGAATTGGAAATTCTTTGCTGGAAGAAAATGTAATATATTGAGCAAAATTGAGTTACAGAGAAAATTACGCAAAATCTAACATATCGCAAAGCAGTAATTTAGTAGAAAAATGTAAAAACATTAACAAACAAAAAAAAACAAAACATTAAAGCTATTTTACAATTTTCTTTATAACAGATGTTCAAAAATATTACCATTTTTTTCAATACAAGTATGCAGTCTTCGTCTAAAAGATAGTCTAACACGACTTAGCATATCTGCATTTATTAAATGGAATGTATCGCGTATTCTTTGTTTCATATCCTCCGCAGTTGTTGGTCTCAATTTATATACATTTTATATAATTTTTTAAATGCAACACTTTGCGGCAGTCTTGCATTTGGGTATTTTTATTTGTAGAGTCTTTGAGCCAATAAAATATTACCATCCGCTTCACCATGTTAATGAGTTCTTGACGAGTAAAATTCATTTTGGGACTTATAATCTTCACAATAAAATTGATAGATTGTAACAATGACAGAAGCCTACTCGATTTTTATTGTCCAAAACAAAAAAGTTTTTTTTTTTATTAGAAGGTGCTACGAGGGTCTATCAAGTCTTCCGAGTCTTCCTTATATGCTGAACTAGCATTCGCCTGCGACTTTGTCCGCGTGTATTTCTGATATAAAATGGGAAAAAGCCCGTTCACAAAACTATTCCATAGGTTTAGGTACTCTATAAAGCTAGATAATTACCTATGTTATGTATAGGACTCAGTTATAGTAGTCTCGTTCTTCGCATGGGCTATGTTTATGGATAAATATTAAATGTTGATTTTCATAAAGTGTCGTCTCAGTGCACTTCTGCACTCTCAAAATTCGAAATTTCATGTTTCTAATTTTGTTTTTAAGCGTTTAAACTCTATTTTATTTCATTAAAATTTAAAAAGTGCATTTCTACACTCTCTAAGGATCATATTTTCTAAATTTAATGTTTTTATATACCTTTAAATGTGTACACCGTTTTATTCCCTTAGAAACTAATTTTCGAAAAATCTGATTTTAGTGCCCCTTTACACCTCTAAAGTATTTTATGTTTATATCTTTGTTTAAACATTTACACCCCATTTAACGCCCTTATAGATTGATTCTCTCTTTTATCCAAAATTTTTATTTATATCTCCGTTTAAATGTTTACACCCTAGTCACCTTTCTGGCAGACCAGCTTAGTTGAGGAACGCTCTACACATATAAATACTTACCATAAACTAATGAAATGTGTTTCAAAGGATTTTTAATGCAATTTTATATAGATTCCAAACTTTTGAAGCCTACGGTTAGTCCTACGACAAAAATGAATAGGACCATTTTTGTAGGAAATTTTGATGCAGAAATAGACTTCTACAAAAAATTCTGCATAAATTACATAAACGATGAATTTATTTATAGACCCTCGTGACTCCTTTAGTGAAGTATTAGACCCAGTAAATTCAATTTACTGTCATTTTTTTTAAATTACAAGACTAATTCTGTTTTAAATGCAGATAAAGCACATTTTTTTAAATGATGTTTTTTGTGTGCCCTATAACTCGCTTACGGTTAGTCCTACAACAAAAATGCAAAGGATCATTTTTGTAGTAAATTTTGTAAGCGTTAATTTTGATAAAAAGATAAAAACCTATAGGAGTGATAATTTCCGAGATATAAGCAAAAACCCAAAAAAAGACACCTTTAACCCCCTCCTCCTCCTCCTCGAGCTCGCCCCTCACCTTCGGAAACTTTTGATATATGTCTACCCAAGAGTAAAGAAAGCGTTTAAAAAAAATTCCAACTCTTTAGGATTTTTTCCACCGATTTGTCTAATTTGACTGGGCTAATAAATGATCTCCGAGTTAAGCTAAATGCTAATTTTGCTAAGTTATATTATTACTACAGTGCGATCAAAAAGTGTTTCTATCAAGTAGGCGTACTAGTTGAGGACGTATGTCGCTTGGAAGTTTGTATGTCAGCTAGATGTCAAAAAATTATTTTATAAAAATTAAAATATTGATCTATAAACAAATTGAATTAGTATATGAAACGTCTTAAAACACCCTAAAATGAGATGTAGTTGGAGTTTATTCATACAAATCGTTCACCATGATTTGTTGTTACAGTTTACAAAAAAATTATTTTGACATTTCTTATTTACCATTGTGATGGTGACATTTTATCTTACACAGACACACGTTTTAAATTTCTAGTTGTATGGTAAAATTGTGGCTGAATGACAATAAATCAGCCTACTATGATCTAAAACAAAAATATAATGTAGAGACGTAATAGTCCAGTCAGTAGGGAGTTTTGCCCTACAAAAGGTGGTTAAGGTCTAGGCCTTGACAAAAATCAAAGTTTTCGACCTTGGGGGAGGAATCCTCGAACCGCCATCTTGAATGAGGGGTACAAAAAATAGGTTTTTCCAAAATAACTCTGCAGCGGTTGATTCTACGACAAAAGTGTTCACATAAAAGTTAAAGAAGACAAAATACCTCACATTTTTTGTATCAACATTTCCTTTGTAAGTCTAATGTGTAACATTTTTCCCAAAAAATAGTAAAACTCCCCATTTTCGACGGCGAATTTTGTAAGAACAAATTACACTTGTTTTTAATGTTTTTTCCGCACCACAATAATTATACAGCGATATCTATTTTAAGGCTCGGATTATATGCAAAATGCATAGTTGTTATTAAGAGATATATTAACAAAATTATAAGTTTTCTATGCATATCTGATGTTTTTTGCTTAAAATAGGCGAATTAAAAAATGCATACCTATTTTGCATATTTTGGCAACTTCGTGTATATTTTAGGAAATATTACAAAGCACAAATTTCTAATTAAAAATTTCTGTTCAAGTTAAAAATTAGACAGTTTACGAAAAAAGATCCGATTACAAAATGTGTTAAAGAGAAAAATTGTTTAAACTTTTTAATATACTATTAATATTTTTTTCTTAAATAAAACGATTTTTTATTTATTGTTTTACAAAGATATGTTCATGCATGTACAAATGTACAAAAATATTTATTAAAAATGTTCAATTTATGTTAAAAAAATTATAAACTTTATCTGTTGTCAAAACTTTCTTCCACCGGCCAAGGGGTGGTACGTTTAAACAATTAATTAAAATAAAAAACATCTTGGCATCGCTTCTTTATAACCTTTAAACATTCATCAATTTATAAAAAAAAAACGAGTAGTTTATTAAAAAAAATTCTTTAATACTTGTAAGTCAAATATTTTTTTAACAAAAAGTTTTAAGTTTACAAAAAAATGTGTGAACATGATATTAAAATTATTGAAATGAAATACTAATTTAGCAAATTACCGGCTGCGCCAGAACTTGCGCTCTAGAAAAAAATAAAATAAGGTAATATATCAGGAACATGGAAAAAATGTTAAAAAAATTCTACCTATAACAATTGCGAAGTTATGAGATTTTAAATTTTGATACTATTTATTTCTGTAGGAAAAATAATTTTTCAAGTTTTTTTGCTGCAGGCTATTAGAAGAGAAAACAAGGAAGCTGTATCCTAAATTGTAACTCTGTTTAATGTTATTTGTGGCTTTTATTGGCAAAATGTTTGTTATTTTACGAAATAATTAAGTATAAAAAAAACATACAGTATGTCCCCGGATTGAGTTTACAAGAGGAAAAAAGATATCTTTGATTTTACGCCAAACTGCAAAGGAAAAACATTGTTTGCTTTACCTGAAACAAGCAAATCTGTAATCAAAACTTTATTATTCTAATTCAGTAGAAAGAAAACTTCTTTTCTCTCTTGATTTTGGACTTGGGATAATTTTTCTCTGCTTTTTAAGTCCTATCACATTGGCGGTTTTATTATTTTGACAATGTTGTCACTTAGACAAATAGGTTTACACAAGTTAAATAGCAAAAATGTTTGTGAAAAACATAATTTTAATAAATAGCAACAAAGAAACAGCTTTAAGATAAAAACCAAAGTTATTTTTAACAAGAAATATCTATTTAATCAATAAATTAATTGTCAAAGTGACATATAGTTGTTAAATAAATAAAACCGACAATGTGATAGGACTTAAAAAGTAGAGAAAAATTAAATCTAAATCAAGAAAAAAAATTAACTTTTCTTCCTAATGAATCAGAAAAATAAGTTTTAATTACAGATAGATTTGTTTGTTTCAAGTAAAGCAAAAACTTTTTTCCTTTGCAGTTTTGGCGTAAAATCAAAGATAATTTTTTTTCCTTTTGTAAACTCAATTCGGGGACTTACTGTATACAAGATTATCAGTATCATTAAATAGACATAAAAAAATGTCAAATGCCAAAAAACAAATGACAAAATAAAAAATTTTAAACATTTTTTTCATGTGCCTGGTATCTTATCTTTATGTAAGATTTTTCTCTGAGACGCAAGTTCTGACACACCCTGTATTATGTGTAGCTTGACAATTTGAAAGAAAAAATTCCCGATATTTTTGTAATCTTAACTTTGGCAAACCTGTATACAGGGTATTTCACGAGTGATAATGAGCCTGACCACATTTGAACTGCAGCCAGCAATACATTTGCATAGGCTTCATGGATTTTGATTATGAATTTTAAAATTAATAAAACATAGTTATCGTGTGACTGACACAAAGAAATTGACAAGACTGGAAACACAATTTTTAAGGTTATTGTCTATCTACCATTGGAAAACACTTTCAAGCCTTTTTGGAGCTTTTCTATACAGGAAACATTGTCTTTACAAAAGAAGTATTTTTTTCCAAATTCGTCATAAATGAAAATCAGATCTGTTTTCTCATCGTTCGAATGCATTTTGAAATTTTGCTAATGTCAGTTTTGACATGGTTGTGACAATTAAAATTATCGAAGCAAAGCTATCGTGGATTCATAATTTGGTTTTTCAAACAATGCGATATCTAAAATATCCACGTTAACTTTGCAAATGTATTGTGGGTTGTATTTTCAATTCCGTCAGGCTCATTATCACTCGTGAAATACCCTGTATTACCGCTCAAGGGATAAAATGATATTACTACTCACGGGATTTATTGATGTGTTTCCCAACCTTTAAAAGGTTAGTAATCGACCACGGAATCGTAAAATAAGATAGAAGGCTAACGCACCTACACCTACTGAAAATGCACGCTGGATGGAGGCTACCATTTGGTAACCAATGACACCAATAACTATAAAATCCTAAGAATTTTAGTAATTTCCCCAGTGAAATTGATTTGAAGTGTTTTGTTAGTTGCATAGCTTAAAAGTGGTCAAACGTTTGGCTTGCTTAAGCTATTACGCATTTATGATGTAGGTAAGTAGGTGATAATGCAAGAAAAACATTTAATTGTACTGCTGGTTGAATTTTTGAGAACCAAATGGCCATGGAGCGTGTATGTCAGCTTTCCATCTTATTTTACGAATTCCGTGTAATCGGTATATTACATTAGTGTTTGTGAATAAAAAAATATACAATATCATCAGTAACATTAAATAGACATAAAAAATTAATGACCCATAAAATCACACTGAATAATTTTTGGTTAAAAGTGTGACTTTGTAGAACTTTAGATAATTTTTTTACGAAATAAATAGATTTGAAAATAACCAAATTTGTTGGTGTTTTGTTACGTATTTCTTTGTGTATAAGAATTTTTTGTAGTAGTATGTTTAAGTGTAAAGAGGCTTGATTATGAGTTTCAATTAACATCATTACTAAAACCTTTAAACAAAGAGCTAAACAGCTTTTAACTAGATGTTCATTTATGGAATACCGGTGCATAACAAACTACTATTCAAATTGATTTAACTTACAAAAACATTATAAACAATTCATGTATGATATTGTTCGAACTGTAATAATACAAGGATTAGCAAATTCGATACTCATGTTCCTAATAATTCATTAATAACAAACGATTAGTTAAAAATTATCACAAAGATAACATCCCAATAAAGACCTTAAAAAATTAATTGGATGTGGACGTTACGATTTAAAGAAATTATTATCAGTTATCACTCCTCTGTTAACATTCATAAAAATAGTTTACATTTATAACGAATTCTTTAATTAACACACAATTTAAGATTTTAACTGCTTCGTTAGCAAGTTCAATAATACTTTTACTTTTAAAATTGCTAACATGATGCCTATACTACGCCTTGACGAAAAGTTTTGTTCAACACGAGAAAAATATTCACTCAAACTGGACAGAGTCATAAAAGGCCAAGGTAAACAAATTTCATGTAAATGTTGTATTAAGGGGAATGTTGTTTTAGTGTAAATCTGTTTGCTTTTGTTTCATCAATTATTCATACGTATGTAGAAAGGCATCGTATATTTTCAAACCCAAGCATTTCTAATGAAACTCCGATTCCACATTTAAAACTGGAAAAATGTGAGAATAATTGTTTAAACGGTTTTAGAAAAATTGTTCACTTAGCAAGAAATAGTTGAAATTTCTATAGGTGATTCTCTTATGGGTGAATTAGCAAGACATTTGGTGTTTTATGTGCAAACATATAAAAATGACTATGTACTATCATTTTAAAAGAGTGTTAATTATTTTAAGTATATGGTAATGGTTTCGCCAAACACAGGGGCTACCAATGTAGAGTATTTTCTACAGGGTGTTTCGAAGTGGTGATTTATTCTAAATAACAAATTTTTGTGTGGAATTTTTTTATTTAGCATTTGCTAGAAGTAAGAGAAATTTCGCACATTTTTCCATTTGCATCTTCGTACTTGAAATGTATTTAATGACTTAATATTTACTTAAAAATTTGTTCAGTGTACAGTATTTGAAGTGATGCAGAAATTGATATAAAATAAATAAAAAATACGTAGTAGCTGTGAAAGAAATCATGGCAAACACGTTAATGGTAAAACATGTGTGCAGAAGTAATTAGAATAGTTGACGCGTATTTCGGTAGCGGGTAACGAGGCTGTTTCTAATCACTGCTAATTGTATGTTTTGTGGTGCTCCCGGCCCCCGAGGCCCCCTCTCCGACTGCGGAATGCCGCACCGAGTTGTTACTTTCGACCGAAGGTGTCAAAAGTAAATGTCGTGGGTTTGTTTAACTTTAATTTATACGGTCGAACAGTAAATGTTTAAAACTCATGTCTATTAAACTTTATAAAAGCCCTTACCTAATGAATTAAGCCCGTAGTGAGCTTGGTAGACGGTGCTGGCGGCGGCCGTGCTGATAGGCAGCGCAGGACTCAGTCCTGAGCTTTGATTCAGTTGTCCCAATGACTGGCCGAACCCGCCCATAGAAACGGAACTCTGACTGAGTTGGCCCAAACCTGTAACATATGGAAAAAATGTTTCATCCAAACGAAAGATGCTTGCTTTGCTTTAAATCAATATTTGAAAAGGATTTTAGGAAACGTTTACCTGTCGCCATTCCAGCGACGCCCCATCGGGATTCCGACGTACTAAACATGCTGGACCCACAGAGTCCATCACCCATTGCCCCAAAAGGAGGAAGGCCGTGCGAAGGTAAGAGAGCACCCGGAGTTCGGAAGACGTTTGTCGTCTTCTTGCGCTTCTTCCATTTCGCGCGACGATTCTGAAACCAAACCTGAAACAAAAATATTTGCTCTTATGAGAAATTAAAAAAAAAACATGTAAAATTATAAAAGCTATTTTTTCTGTCTATTTCCACCATTTTCTACTTTATACAAGATGTAGATATTCTTTTTCCACATTACAAAAATTATTTGAATATTATTTTTATATTAGTTATGACTTTGTATTATTTCAGGTTTACTACGCAATTTGTTAAGCGTTTTTATTCTATTTTGAATCCGGTAAATGAGCTATTATAGTATCAGTGACCTAACAACAATTACCAAATTGTTATTTTTTACACAAATGTAAAATCATAAATTTTAGACACTTTTTGAAAAAGTATAAAATAGTTATTATTCCTCGTGAATTACCCTGTATATTTTAGTAAAAATTCTTATAAAATCAAAAAATAATTATTTATTATTTATTATTTATTTAGACAATAAAGAAATTGTATATCCACGAGTGAAAAAATTAAATTTATGAGTGACAAAGTCACGAGTGGACTTTCTTTAGTAGATAAATAATCTTTATCGTCGTGTATAATATTTCGTTTTATTTTTTACTCACGTACCAGAATTTCTTGAATATAAACAGTAGATAAAAATTACTTTATTTTACTAGACGATAAAAGACAACTTTATCTACTGAAATTAGTTGATATTAAAATATAAAGAGTACATAAAAATTACTTTATTTTACTAGACGTTAAAAGACTACTTTATATACTGAAATTAGTTGATAAAAGCACAACATTGAGTACAAGATAATAAAATAAATTTCGTGATTACAATATACGTACGCCTCTAACAAATTCGAGCATCATTTATACAACTGTAATAAGTATTTGAATTAGTGAACTTATAACGTAAATTACTATTTTGGTCTCAAAAACTGTAAATGACACATTTTCACATTTTTTATACCTACGGTATCCTAATTTTACAAGACATCTCTCAAGTTTACTGCACGTCATGTGACAAAATAAGATAAAAATTTTGGGCTTTCAAAAACCTCATAAAATACATACTTTATAGTAAATAAAGTTTATTAATGTTAAGAACTCATTTATCCATTCAGTATTTAAAAGTAAACACGATTTATCCGCAAACTTTTATTATTAAATGCTATCTTTCTGCTACGTCATAAAAAGTCTGTTTTTGCGTTTTTACTTTTACAATGACATTTAGCAATGTTGTTTTTTTCTTGCTCTTTCATTGCTTCAGCAATTTCTGGGGAGGTACCTACATGGTAGATCATCAGCATTCGACATTTTGCATTAGTAACTGCACTAGTTATGCACTAATTAAGTTGATAAACACTCTAGAAAACCTCAACACAAATCCGATACTGACACGTGATGTTTGTTTAAAAGCGTTGTTATGATTTCATTGCAAAACGTCTTTATTATTTTGTTCATTTACTTGCTTAATATGTATTTATTTTTTGTCGGCAAGATTCTGATGAACGCCATCTTATGGTAAAGGCACAGTAAGTATCTATAGTATAGGTATACAGAGTGTGTCAGAAATCGCGCCCCAAAGAAATTTCGAGTAAGATAAGATACCAGGAACATGGAAAAAATGTTTAAAAAATTCTATCTGTCAAAAAAATTTGACATTTATTTTTTTAAATTTGACATTTTTTTATGTTTATTTAATGATACTGATGATTTTGTATAGGTTTTTTTACAATTATTTAAAGGTACAAAAAATTTGCCAATAAGGGCCACAAATAACATTGAACAAAGTTAGAATTTAGGATACAGCTTTCTTTTTTCCTCTTCTAATAGCCTGTAGCAATAAAACTTGAAAAATTATTTTTCCAACAGAAGTACATAGAGTAAAAGTGCAAAATTTAAACTGTCATAACTTCGAAATTTTTATAGATGGAATTTTTTAAATATTTTTTCCATGTTTCTGGTATCTCACCTTATATGGCATTTTTCTCTGGGGCACAAGTTCTGGCGCACCCTGTATAAATATGAATTAATAACATAATTGTCTTCTGCCCAAAAGATTTGTACAGTTACATTTTACAGTATTTATGCGTTAGAAATTTTGCAGCGTTCAGTTTTATTAAAACAGTCAGCACTCACGGTGTAAAATTTTACCTACCGCACTTACAATGTAATAGTTATTATTTTGCGCCTGTAAATTTTTAATTTATTAACACTAATATCTTATACTGTTCTATGGTGCATTTAAGCTTACTTCTTATGTTGCCGTTAATATACGCTCTTCTATAAAATACGTCGTCAATCACATTATATTTTCGAAGTAGCTACATAACAGTATATTAGAAAATCATTCGAACAAATGAGATTTAATGATGTGTTTTCCAACCTTTAAAAGGTTAGCAATCGGCATCTTACATTGGTGATTGTGAATAAAAAATTTAATATGAAAAGTACAATTGGTCGCTGACTGAATTGTGCCACCCGAATAATCTAACACTTTTGATGTCTTAACTACATTGTTTAAGGATATTTCAGAATTTTCTGAGTTTGTAGAGACTGGTGATGCCACTTGTGGCAACACATTTTACTCATAATAGTAAGTACATTATACATAAAGAGAGAGAAATGCACGATTATTAAGCCAGAGGGCGAAGCCCGAAGGCTATAAGGCGTCAAAGAAACAATAGCATTTCTCTCCAGTGGTGTATACTATTTTTTGCTCGACTTAAAAAACTCAAAAAATTGGCTGTTTTTCTTTAATAAAAATTATAATTTAGCATAAAGTTAGCATTCTTTTGAATCACAGTATGGTAACAATAAAAATGTTTGTTGAAATTAAGCCTATCAACGAATGGGAATGACCTAGTAACGAGAGCAAATATTTGCTTCCATCGTTAAGTTCATTTCTCTCCCTTGGGAGAGAATTTTAACTTTTGTCACAATTTTCACATAAGAAACATTAGGTAACAATTTCTGAATTTAGCAAAATTTCTGATCCAATATTAGTATTAGAAAAAATTAAAAAAATAAGTTTTATAGTTTAAAAATCTCGGTTTATAGAATTCTCACTTTTTTATACGGTCGCCCAGATTTAAACTACGACCTCGATTTTTAAACTGTCTGTAAAACTCTTGTTCTCTTATTAATAGCTATAAATTTAACAGCCCGGTAAAAAAGTACTTTTTAAATGGAGGGCATAGGAGACAAAGGCGCAATGTCATTATGAAGTTAGAAAATTCCTTTAATAATAATTGCAGAAGTACAAAATTTACATAACCTCATTTATGATAAAAAGAAAATAATACTTCCAACTTAAGTTAATAACTAAGGTAAGTAATTAATTAATTAATGTAGGTAATTGTGAATTAAAAAAATAGTTGTTGTGAATTACGACATGTTACGTCTGGGCAGCATGTCCATAAGTAGTGTTATATTTTTCGCTGTTGTATTTTTGGGTAATAAATGTGCTAGTAGTGAAATTTTTTTTATATAAAACACGGTAGTGAAGATTTTTAAAGCCTCGCATGCTACGCATTTCGGGATATAAACAGCTCGGCTACAAATAATTTCTCTCTATCTATAAATGGCAACCCATTAGCAACTTTATATTTAATTTAAAAAAAAATATATAAGTTGCAATTTGACAAAAAATCGCATAACTTAAAAACAAAACAAAAGTTCGTTCTCAAAATACGATTACATTTTTTATATTACTTTAATTTATATTAATTATTATTTTCTGATGTAAAAATGATTTAAAGAAACCGCTTGGTTCCAAACTTTATATTCACTCCGTATAAAAAAAATCTTGCCACAAGCTAACTAAAGGATTAATCTATTATCTTAATCTTAATTATGTAATCTTATGATTACAAAATAGTATATTATGTAACTAGTGCTATAACATACTCTCTCTTAATTTCAATTACAAAATGAGAAAAAATTGAAAGAAAAATAGGTATTAATATTTATTGTGACTAGTCCAGTGTTTTGTGTAAGAGAAATAAAATAAAACAAGAAAATGGTTTTGCAAAGTTTTGATAAAATTTTTATTTTTTGGTTGTTTCAGACAATTTTATGCGTTGTGTAGATGTGCAATTTTGAGCGACCGATTTTGTTAAAAAGTTTAACATTGTGGAGTTAATAGCAGTAGTTTACAAATAATAACTAGTTTAATATACCCTTAATTAAATTATTATTATTTCTATGGTTATTTACCTTTAATTAAACAAAAGTAATAGTTAATTTTTTTATCACTTCGCAGTTTTTCTACAAATGCTTTCTGCACAAATGCCCTCCATTTAAAATTTATTTAAAATTTAAATTGTTGCTACATTATTTTAAAAATTATCACCAGATGAGTTTAACAGGTTTTAAAATATATTTGATTGATTTGCATTTGGACGTATTTTAAAAAAATTTAGGCAGCATGAGTGACCAACAGGGCGAGCATTTTGATCAAGATCTGAAATGTTTTTGGAATGAAAATATGTTAGGAAATTACCTACTGTTGGACTGTTATAAAAAAAAACTGATCCAAAAAAGTATAAAAAACAAAAGTAAAACAACTAATTTTTTTATTTTAAATTAACTTGCACTTGGTGTCACAATGGGATCCTTTTATTATTAACTCATTTTTATCTTGTTGTTTAGCGGTTTTTGTATTTTTGTTAATATATACTTCTATTCCTTATATTATAACTTATAAGTTATAAGTGACGTGGTGAACCTTTTTAAATATTTTTTCAACACTAATACCTTAAACTGTTTCTATGCATTTAAGCTTACTTCTTATGTTGCGTTTTTCTATGAAATACGTCGTCAATAACAACGTAAGTATTTTATAAGCTCATATACCGGGTGGGGCATCTGTTACGCCCAAAAAGAAAATCCCACTTCTAAATAAAAAAAATTGTTGAATTTTTTCACACTTCCCTGGGCATTAGTAAGGTACATTCTCTAATTTTTTGGTAATTTTTCATTCACAAACAAAGCCAAAAAAAAATAAAAAGTAATTTTTTCCCAAAAAATTTAATTCTAATTTTTATACT